TGGCGGGATCATCAGGTGAAAGTAAAGTAAGAAAACGAATGCAGCCGCCACATCTCAGGACGGGTGAGCCGCGATATTCAACATTTTTCGGTTCAGATAAACTTACAATAAAAAAAACTCGGAGCCGCGTGTGGTCAGCGCGATCCAATGAGCCGATGCGAGGCCGGGGGTCACATGACCTGATATTCACGGACATAGAACCGTATAAAACACCCAACTGGCGCTCTGTCAGCCGGCGTTCCCGGAGCGCCAGGGACAGCCGCCATCCCTCTGAGTAATCAGTCCTGACGGGGCCCCTTCTTCCCGCCCGCTCCGCCGCTGATTAAACCCGACAGGAGATTCGACTGACTCACATATACGCCGCCGAGCTTCAGGGATGCGTGAGAGGCGACGAGGGGGGGGGCACAAATAACGAGGCTCGCCCCCGTCCTCCCTTATACCCTGACTGAGGATGGGTGGGCCCCCCCCCGGGGGCCAGTCAGGGGACACTCAGTCTTCAACAAATCGCCGGCGACATCTCCGAGCAGAGAATCGAAAATTCATTTCATTCTTATTTGTTCTCACGCCGCGTGCACCTGCGAGATACGCCGGCGCTTCCTGTGCGAGATCCGACCCGCCGCGCCGCGAACCTTCCCGATAAAAGTGAATACCAGAAAAATATTTATAAACTTCAACATCATCCGAAAATCATGAAAACCCAAATCTCATATAATCACCCAGACGTTGTTTTCAGGAGCCTTAAATATGACCTCCGTCCTCCCCTTCAGTCTTCTATCTGACCTCCGTCCTCCCCTTCAGTCTCCTATCTGACCTCCGTCCTCCCCTTCAGTCTTCTATCTGACCTCCGTCCCCCCCTTCAGTCTTCTATCTGACCTCCGTCCTTCCCTTCAGTCTTCTATCTGACCTCCGTCCTCCCCTTCAGTCTTCTATCTAGTTTTCTATCTGACCTCCGGCCTCCCCTTCAGTCTTAAATCTGACCTCCATCTTTCCCTTCAGTCTTCTATCTGACCTCTGTCCTCCCCTTCAGTTTTCTATCTGACCTCCGTCCTCCCCTTCAGTCTTAAATCTGACCTCCATCTTTCCCTTCAGTCTTATATCCGACCTCCATCCTTCTGGCTGGAGGATGTCCAGCATCATCTAGAGCTTTCCTCCCCAGCCTGTCTGTCCCTGGGCCCCGCCCCTTTCATTCATTGGATTTCAGTTCTTTCAATCACGTGGACATTACATGGGGAGGTCTTAATATAAATGTAATTTGCCTGGGAACGCCCACGCCTGCAGAGTGAAACCTACCAATCAAGGCATTGTGATATTTACATAACTCCTCCCAAGAGCCCGCCCACTGCTTGCATTAGGGCTGAGGGCTCTGAGGCTCCTCCCTCCCGGAGGAAAGCTTTACATTTCTTGCACATGTTACAATCTGTATTTATAACTAAAAACTGCTAAAAACCTGAAAACATTAAAAATTCACTAAACGCGGAGGCCTGGGGAAGAAAGAGACGGTAGTTGCAGCTTTGAACCCGGAGACGCTCGGAGCTGAACGCTTCCGGGGTCACCCTCTGCAGAGGAGATGGGGGGACAGATTGGGGTCATTCAGACCATTTGTGTGTGAGAATGTGAACATTGTCCGGCACTGAGGGGGTTACTGACATCCCTTTTATTGGGAATCTTAGCCCCCCCCCATCCTCTATGATCAGTGGCGGATCTAAGGAACAATGGGCCCTGGTGCAAGATTTTTTTTTGGGCCCTCCACCCCAGGTCTTAAAATGCCCGCACTGCCCACCTGAGAGCCCCACTGAGCACCTGAAAGCCTGCACTGGCGACCCGAGAGCCCGAACTAGCCACCTGAGAGCCCCACTGAGCACCTGAAAGCCTGCACTGGCCACCCGAGAGCCCGAACTAGCCACCTGAGAGGCCCACTGACCACCTGAAAGCCTGCACTGGCCACCGAGCGCCCGAACCAGTCACCTGAGAGCCCCACTGACCACCTGAGAGCCCCGAACCAGTCACCTGAGAGCCCGACTAACCACCTGAGAGCCTGCACTGACTGCCTGAGAGCCCCACTGACTGCCTGAGAGCCCCACTGACTGCCTGAGAGCCTGAAGCACCTGAAAGCCTGCACTGGCGACCCGAGAGCCCGAACTAGCCACCTGCGAGCCCCACTGAGCACCTGAAAGCCTGCACTGGCCACCCGAGAGCCCGAACTAGCCACCTGAGAGGCCCACTGACCACCTGAAAGCCTGCACTGGCCACCGAGCGCCCGAACCAGTCACCTGAGAGCCCCACTGACCACCTGAGAGCCCCGAACCAGTCACCTGAGAGCCCGACTAACCACCTGAGAGCCTGCACTGACTGCCTGAGAGCCCCACTGACTGCCTGAGAGCCTCACTGACTGCCTGAGAGCCTGAACTAGCCACCTGAAAGCCTGCACTGGCCACCGAGCGCCCGAACCAGTCACCTGAGAGCCCCACTGACCACCTGAGAGCCCCGAACCAGTCACCTGAGAGCCCGACTAACCACCTGAGAGCCTGCACTGACTGCCTGAGAGCCCCACTGACTGCCTGAGAGCCTCACTGACTGCCTGAGAGCCTGAACTAGCCACCTGAAAGCCTGCACTGGCCACCTGAGAGCCCGACTAACCACCTGAGAGCCCCACTGACTGCCTGAGAGCCCCACTGACTGCCTGAGAGCCCCACTGACTGCCTGAGAGCCCCACTGACTGCCTGAGAGCCCCACTGACTGCCTGAGAGCCCCACTGACCACCTTAGAGCCCCACTGACCGCCTTAGAGCCCCACTGACTGCCTTAGAGCCCCACTGACTGCCTGAGAGCCCCACTGACTGCCTGAGAGCCCCACTGACTGCCTGAGAGCCCCACTGACTGCCTGAGAGCCCCACTGACTGCCTGAGAGCCCCACTGACTGCCTGAGAGCCCCACTGACTGCCTGAGAGCCCCACTGACTGCCTGAGAGCCCCACTGACTGCCTGAGAGCCCCACTGACTGCCTGAGAGCCCCACTGACCGCCTTAGAGCCCCACTGACCGCCTTAGAGCCCCACTGACCGCCTTAGAGCCCCACTGACCGCCTGAGAGCCCCACTGACCGCCTGAGAGCCCCACTGACTGCCTGAGAGCCCCACTGACTGCCTGAGAGCCCCACTGACTGCCTGAGAGCCCCACTGACTGCCTGAGAGCCCCACTGACCGCCTTAGAGCCCCACTGACCGCCTTAGAGCCCCACTGACCGCCTTAGAGCCCCACTGACCGCCTTAGAGCCCCACTGACTGCCTGAGAGCCCCACTGACTGCCTGAGAGCCCATGCATCTATAATAAATCTATGAAATAACTACAATGTATCTTTAGATTGTATGTAAAAAGTATCACTGATGAATCTATCTGTAATATATCTATAATGTCCTCCTGTGTATATAATGTCCTCCTGTGTGTATATAATGTCCTCCTGTGTATATAATGTCCTCCTGTGTGTATATAATGTCCTCCTGTGTATATAATGTCCTCCTGTGTATATATAATGTCCTCCTGTGTATATATAATGTCCTCCTGTGTATATATAATGTCCTCCTGTGTATATATAATGTCCTCCTGTATATATAATGTCCTCCTGTGTATATAATGTCCTCCTGTATATATAATGTACTCCTGTGTATATATAATGTCCTCCTGTGTATATATAATGTCCTCCTGTGTATATATAATGTCCTCCTGTGTATATAA